TTGTCTGTTCGACAAAGCCTCATTTCTTAGGAACCACCTGGGTTGGGCTAACCCACTGGCTGTCACTGATAAGGTATATGATTCCTGCATCGAACAGCTTGATCACCTCCTTCTTTACTACCTCTTGCATATTTTCGTTTAGTCGCCGCTGAGGCTGTTTGCATGGCTTAGCGTCAGCATCCAGCCTTATATAGTGCATGCACACCGCTGGGCTGATTCCTTTTATATCTGTAATCTTCCATGCAAACGCCGTTTTTCTTCTTTTGAGAAGTAAGACGAGCTGAGCCTCTTGGTCCGGCAACTGTGAGATGGAGATTATCAGCGGGTAACTCTCCTCCGGGCCAAGGAATATGTATTTGAGGTGTTCAGGTAATTTCTTCAGCTCATCCTTTATGTTGGTGTCGCTGGCTGGTTTTCTCATCGCTCGTTCAATGAATTCAGTAAGTGTTGGTGTGTCACCGCTTGCCTATGCTGAATCCTCTACAGCTTCCAGCTCAAGCGATCCGTTATCTGAAATTCCTTCCAGATTTTCAAGTATAATAAAGCTCTCAAAAGTTATTATTTCATTTGACTCATTGATAAAATCACAATTTTCTTCCAGAGGTTGACGCAATGCTGAGTTTATGGAAAATGTGACTCTATCTCCACCGAAGCTTAATGAGATTTCGCCTTCGGCGACATTGATTGTGGCTTGAGCGGTGGCAAGGAAAGGTCTCCCTAGAATTATTGGAATTTCGCGATCATTGCTCATTTCCATAATAATGAAATCTGCAGGGAAAATAAATTTGTTCACTTGCACGAGTACATCACGAATGATTCCTTTAGGTAATTTTATTGATTTGTCGGCAAGCTGAATTACAGTTCTGCATGCTTATAATTCATAAAGCCCTAATTTAGAGAAAAACGAGAAGGGCATAAGATTGATACTTGCACCTAGATCACATAATGCCCTAATTGGCTCTAAATTTCCTATAGTACAAATAATAATAAAACTCCCATGATCGCTTAATTTCTTCGGGAGGTCCTCCTTAAATACGGCGCTGCACACACTCTCCAGCTGCACCGCTGCCGCTTTGTCAGGGAATGCCCGCTTTCGGTTGATTATATCTTTGATAAACTTAGCGTAATGTGGCATCTGTGACAAAGCATCAGCAAACGGTATAGTAATTTGAAGACTATGAAAAGTGTGCACAAACTTATCAAATTCCTTGGAGTTGTTCTTCTTCTCAAGTCGTGTGGGAAAAGGGGCTCGAGCCAAAGGCTGAGCGGGACCCTTTTCTTTCGGTTCAAGTACCCAACCGGTTGGTATCGCTCGAGGTTGGGATGGACCTTTCTCCCCAGTTGGAATCTGTATATCTTCATACTGCACAGGCACATTAGCAACAAAAGGGTTAGGAGAATGATTAATACCACTGTCTGGCAGCGGTGGGGATTATGTCCGCTTCTCTCCCCTTGTCTCGACTGTCCCAGGCAACGTTCCTTTCTGTTTTAGCTTAATAGCTTCAGCTATCTGACTGACTTGTATTTCCAGCATTTTGATCGAGGCAAATGTATTTCTTTGGAACTCCTGATTTGCTCACTCTGTGTTCCTCCAGAGCTCCTCCAGACTCATCGGTGCTTGTCCCGCTGTAGGAGGTTGAGCGAATGCAGGTGCCTGCTACGGAAAGTGGGGGCTTGAAAGTATTGCTGTTGATGTCGATAATATCCCCCTAGATGATATTGTTGCGCAGCGAACTGTTGTGGCCTCTGAAATTGTTGGTGAGGACGCGGTCCAGCGGGGCCTTGAGCCTGCCCCTTTTGGAATTGATGGAATTGAGGGGCATTTCTGCCGGCCATATAGTAGACCTCCGCTGGGTTCTGAGCCTCTTCAGTCGAGCACCTGCGGACCTTATTGGTCTTCAAAAGCTCTTTCCTCACATTCCGCGGCCTCGTGCAGCGCCTGTTTTCCTTTATTACGCAGGTTCTGCTTCATTAGCTTAGACAACTCCTTGACTTGGATCGACAAACTGTCGATCCTTGCATCGTGAGAAACGGAAACAAGAACCTGGTATAGACCCCTCGATGGCTCGGGCCTGTTGGACTCTGGCCAACTTGACTGATTTGCCGCCATTTTCTCTATCAAAGCCCTCGCTTCTGAGGCACAGCGCCCCATCAGCGAGCTTCCTGCCGCTGCATCTAAGGACATTCTTAGTTCATGAGTATTCCTGAGTAGAAAATTTGTAGCTCCACGAAGTCCAGAATTTCATAATGAGGGCAAATGCGGAGCAATTGTTTGAATCGGCTCCAGGCTTTTGGAAGGGTCTCATCACTCGCCATCTTGAAAGTGAGTATTTCATTCTTTTTGCGAATGGTCTTCGATACAGGATGATATTTACTCACGAAGGCCTGCGCTGCTTCCTTAAAAGAGCCAGGAATGGGATAAAGGTTATCGAACCATTTCCTAGCTTCTCCAGATAACGAAAATGGAAACAGTATCAGTTTTGCAGAGTCCTCCGTGATGCCGTGAGATTTGGAGGTGGCAACGATCCTGTTAAAGTTCTGTAGATGCTCATAGGGGCTTTCGTTGAGCAGCCCATGGAATTGGCTCTAGCTCGCCAGGCTGACGAGCGCTGGTTTCACCTCATAATGGCCAAAGCCTCTGGACGCAAAACTTGTAATTAATGTATGATCCAGAAGGGACTGGTAGTGAACATCCATGGGGACTTCAACAAGCGGGCGTTCAACAGCCCTGTGTCCCTCAGCCCTCTAGTAAGGCTCAGCAGTAAGTGGTGGGGGAGTGATGGTAGCGGGTATCGCAGCGGTGTTGGCAGCTTGAGCCGCTTGGGAAGCGATAAACGCCCCCTGCGCAGCTTGAGCTTTCTCCACCTGAGCGAGGTGCGCTTGCAGCCCGCCATTCCCTGTTGAATGCTACTGAGGGCTCTCATTAATTGCTTCTTAGTTGGTGTGAGCGTATGGGGAACGACAGTAGGGACCACAGTGGGGATGTGGAGCGGCACCTCCTGCGAAGAAGCAGATGTGGCAGAGTTGGAAGATGTCCTAGCGGCAGTCTGGAAAGCTGGGACGACAGTAGAAGGAGCGGTGGCATTTCCTTGGTTCGCCATAAGTTGTTCTCAAACTTGCTCTCTGAACAGACGTTTCTGCGATCGAGCGGAAGGAATAAGACTTGTGGGACGTTGAAAATGCTTCGGACCCCTACGTAATGATATCCATATCAAAGAAAAAGTTAGCAAAATTAGTAAAAATGCAAAAATTAATACAAAAATTTAAAAGTAATTTATGGCGCTTCAAAAGATCCTTAACCAGAATACTTTTAATGAGTTTAAAATCCCCGGCAACGGCGCCAAAATATGATAACTAAAAAATAATATGTACGTGTGTGTTTACTCAATTCACAAGGAATTTATATTTGAAAATCAGTGAGTGGAAGTTTATAGAAAACGATCAGATATAGTAATTTTTGTGGTTGTAGACCCTGAGTAGTCATCACAATTATTTGTACTATTTTTACTGGTGAGTTTCCAGGTCGAACACAAGGATTTTAAGTCATGAATTTCAACGGTGAAAATCTTGAAAAAGCGACGAAAAATGCAAGAAGGGATCCGCTTGCAGCGGATCTAAAAGCTAGGCTATATAAAGCGGTAAGTAAAGCGATAAAAAATGGAGTGAGCGGAAGTGAGTGAAGCGAGGGCGGAAGATGAAGTGCCAGCGGTAACCACATGATCGGGACATGAGCGGAAGCGGGGACCAAATGAATGGGACATGGATGAATGGCGGTTACCGAGTGAACGGGACATGAGCGAGCGGCACATTATATGTATACATATGTATATATATATGAGCGACCGAGAGTGAAGGAGAGATGTTGTGTCTGAACTGTGCGTTACTAAATGGATAGATTTTCCTGGGGGCAATGAGCGAGCGATGCAGTTGTGTTATCGGGAATATATGTATTTTACGGAAGCAGTGAGAAGAAAGTATTGTAATTATATAAACTGAATATAAAGAGTTCGTAACACTGGAATTTTTGACCTTAAGGGATTTACAACAAGACTTCAATGACACCCAGATTCAAGATATTATAAGAAAGAAACCCTACTGTCACTAGGAATCTCTGCGACCTAATAGACCATCGCCTATGTTCCGTTAATTTTCCCAAAATCTGCCCCATTAGTGGCTTTACCCTTCTGTTACCCCTTTTTAATCAAAATTGAATTCAGAACAGCAGTTAAGCAGGTCGACAAGGCTCTCGCGTATTTAACTACATTGAACTACCTTGAGACCGCCTTTGGCGCATAACAAGGCTCAAATAATCAATTCTTCTCTAGCTTTAAACCAGTGAAATAGAATTCTCTAAATTCAAACTTTATATAAGTGTGTAAAAATATGGAAGAATTGAGGATGATGAACTGAATGATATTTCATTATCTACTAGGAAAGCATGCAAAGACTAAAGCTACAAAGCTGTAAACGAAAATAGTAATCTAATCTAAGAAAGCTGTAAAGACTTGGCCAAGGGAGAAGGAAAACTCCTACTCCCTTGGCCATTCCTGTGGAGAACTCCCTTACAGGGTTGGAGCTCTCGAAAACAGGAAGACGATTTGCCTGAGAAGTACTTGCTAAGAGTATTTTTTAATCGAAGTATAGATCCCTTTACATAAAGATATCTCGTGGTAGCCTGAGTAGCCATCGAGGAAACAATCTCGTGGCCGGCTAATTTCTCAAGGCATTGATCAAAGAAAGGCTTCGGGAAATGATCATTTTTTGTGGCAATGTTGAGCTTCTTGTAGTCGATGCAGACCCTCAATTTAATAACCGATCTTGTCATGAACACCTTCCCTTATTGTCCGTCTGCTCGACAAATCTTCCTTTCTTGGAGACTATTTGGGTTGGGCTTACCTGCTGGGTGTGGCTGATGAGGTAGATAATATATGCATTAAAAAGCTTAAATACCTCATTCTTTACCACTTCTTGCATATTTTCATTAAGGCATCATTGAGTCTGTCTGCATGGCTTGGCTTCGGCATCAAAGATGATGCGGTGCGTGCACATTGCTGGACTAATGCCTTTGATATTTGAGATATTCCATGTAAACGCCATCTTTTGTCTCTTAAGAATGGCTAGGAGTTGGCTTCCTGGTCCAAAATCAACATGACGGAGATTATCAGCAAGTAAGTTGCCCAAGAATACATAGTTCAAATGTTCTGGCAGTTTCTTCGAGTCCTCTTTTGGTGTATACTCGTTCTCTGGCTCTCCCTTGACTTGCTCAATGGACTCAGTGTGGTTTTTTTTTAAAAAAACTATATAGCAACGGCTAAACCCAAAATGGGCTGCCTATGTACCCCAAGTGGGGATCAAGCCGTACGTAGTTCTGCTGATACACAGTCTAAGTACAAGTCAACAACCAAGACAAGCCTAAGCTATCAAAGTAATCAACCTAAGGCAACATGCATAGGCATCAACCAATCACTATCGACCTCAAGTCTAAGTACTAATCCTTCAATCATAAGCTCTACCAATCAAACAAAATAGCACAAAATATGCTAAGTGTAGGTAAGCTAAACATACATATCGATGGAATCAAAAGCACGGTCAACCCTTGGCATCCACTCATAGAAGACCTCGAATTAGTAAAGGGATGTCTTCCATTCTAATGTCCTATCTCCCGATAAAGAAGAAGCCGCATTGGTTAGTGTATCTACCACCCGATTTCCTTCTCGTTAGATATGGGAAATCCGCCAAATGACATCGCGTAACTGCAGAGACAGTCGGCTAAGGCACGCATGTAAATCCGCCAAATGACATCGCGTAACTACAGAGACAGTCGGCTAAGGCACGCATGTAGAGTCCAATGCCCAGACGATGATGAGATCAAGGCTATTTTGCACATCGTGTCTGTCTCAATCCACAAGGGAAGAAAGCCATGCTCCACTGTCAAGTCGACCCCTCTATATGTTGTCTCCAACTCTGCGAAAGTATTCGTCATATATGTGGAATTGGCGACTGATAGGCTATCATCACTGCTCTTGAAGTATCTCAAATAATGCCCGCAACACTCTGCCTAAACAACACTAAATGGGCAGTCCACTCCTCCGACTTCCACTAACTAAGAGAACTCTCTTACAGGACTGAAGTTCTCAAAAATTTAACAGAGTAAAAGCAAAATGAACACGAGAATGAAATGTATATTACACTAGAATCTAGTCCTATAAATAGAAGTTCGAGATCGGCAGTTGGTGGGAGTTGAGTAGTTGTAGAGAAAGGCAGTTGGGATGCTGTTGCAACCACTGGACAATTAGGCAGTTAGATGGTTGATCAGTTGGAACTGCCCTAACTCTCAGTTTGCTCGCTTGGCTAGTTTGACATTGCTGGGCACAGATCTTCTTCGCTTGCATAGCTTGGCTGGGCTTAGTTGAACGGCATCGGCACAACTTATGCGGTGCTATCGTTGTTGGCCGGTATGAATGGCTTAACCGCTGGGAGATCAATATTTAAATGATTCTGGGTGGCTTCAAGATCTTGCTCGTCAGCAGTGGACATCTGGTTGCTGACTGGGGCACAAGCGGAATGTTTCTCACTTGTCACAGAAGATGCCCTCGCTGGCCTTTCCATACTTCTGAGCCATAATATAGCTTAAAAAGTCTAAAAACATTAATAATCTCCACAAGCAGTCCTTGGATCCTACCAAACAAAACACGTCAATAAAGTATGTCATAAATCAGATTTTCACGTAAAAATTCAAGCAATATACGATTTTATCAAGCGGTAAATATGTTATTATTTCAAGTTATAAAAATGCAATGAATTTTCCTTGGTTCCTTGACTTTCCTAATGTTAGAACCGACACCATTGTGAATGGTAAGAATGAGTACGGGCAAGCTACTCCAAGTCTTGTGTTACAGTGGGTTAAGAGATGACATCTGAATGGAAATCTTACACAAAGTGATTTGCTTTCCATCTGACTTCAAGTTCTTAAAGGGAAGAGGAAAGGTAAACAGGGTTGAGTTGCTGGTCATGCAACAGAATTGAGTTGGATCAATTTTAAATGTTCTTGTCCTTTCTAGAAATGAATCATTTTCCTCCATACTTCAGTATCTTCTTCAGAGTAGCTTGGTATTTCATCTAATAAATTTTGACATCCATTCATTATGCTTTCGGATTATTCTTTTAGATAAAAAATGCAGAAAAATCTATTGAATGAAAGCAGAGAAGTAATTCCTCTAGCTTCTGCTGCAGGAACAAACGAGAAACAATTTTGTGGGATTCTGCAAAACAAGGATAATACAAAGCATTCACAATGACAGATCTTGTTCCCATTGGGACTATTTTGGCTGTGCTTACCAAACAGATCATTAAAACAGCTCAAGCAGCCAAGGATGTTGTTTTTGAGAAGGAAAGTTTTAAGGTTTTGGGAGAACACCTTCATGACATAGAGCCTGTCTTGAAGGAATTGCAGTCGCAACAATTGAGTGACTCACCAGCAACAAGGCAAGCTTTGGAGTCACTTGAAACTAACGTAAAGAAGGCAAACAACTTGGTCGAGAAGTACAAAGGCAGAGCTCGATTCTACCTATTAGTCAAATGCCGGCATATTGTCAAGGAGATACAGGAGGTTACAAGAGAGATTGGAAACTCATTGGCTGAATTTTCTTTTGCTAATGTTGAAGTCTTGTCAGGTATCTCGGATCAGGTGAACAGGTTACAGAATGAGATGCAACGTGCAGAGCTTGAAGCCGCTCAGTCTCGGCTCCAAATTGTTGACAAGTTAAATCAGGGCCTTTCAGATCAAGTGTTTGACAAAGATTTTGCAAATGACATGCTCAAGCAAATAGCAAGGGCTGTTGGCATCCCGGTGGAGCCTACATCAATTAGTAGAGAACTAGCTAACTTCAAAAAGGAAAAAGAAGAAGCTGAAATTAGGAAAGAACAGGCAGAAGTTTTGTTCTTAGAACAGGTCATTGAGCTGCTGTCTCGAGCAGATGCTGCCAGAGATTATGAAGAACTGAGGAAACAATATTTCCAAAGACTCAAAGTGGTAGAGACATATCCTGGTGAAGAATGCATCAAGCCATTTAAACCTTTCTTTTGTTGTATAACTGGGCAGGTGATGATCGATCCGGTTAGCCTCTGTACTGGTACAACATGTGAAAGGGAAGCCATCAAAACTTGGTTCAAGTGTGGAAAGACTACTGATCCTGAAACGTTTGAAGTTCTTCAAGATTTTTCTTACAGGCCAAACATCCAATTAAGACAGTCAATCCAAGAATGGAGGGAACTCAATTATTGTGTGAAGATTAGATCTTGTATGACAAGATTGCTATTGGATATTGACTCATCTGTTGAGGAGGCTCTTGATGATATGAGAGAGCTTGTTAGTGATAATTCTATCAATAAGGACTGGATTTCCATCGGGGGCCTAACTGATGTTGCTGTTACTACACTTGATGGACGGGTTACTGAATCCGTACAGAAGAAATTATTGGCAACATTGAAGGACATCATTGAGGGACATACTCGAAACAAGGTCAGTTTTAGCCTCTTTTGATTTTGATTTTTTCTAACTATGATTTGACTGTAAACTTCTGATGGTTCTGGATAAACACACAACATCTATCCTTGTTATTTTAGATAGGTGACAGACCTTTGAATTTCAGGATATCTTCATTGAGAACCAGGGAATTGAGAGAATTCTTCCTTTTTTAGCAATGGATTCTATCATATCAAAGACTGCTATTGAATTGCTGCATGAGGTTTTACTTGATACATCAGGCTGGAACACCCGTTATTGCCAGATGCTTTCTCTACATTCCAATGCCATCCCACTTCTTGTTTCCCTTCTTAAAATTCCGGAGAATGAAACTGCTAGAATAGCAGAGGAAATTTTGGTGAAGCTCTGTGAAACAGATGATAATATTATTTGTGCTGCTAAGGCAAACTGGTTTGCACCACTAATTTCTAAGATGATCAAAGGTCAGTTCTCATTACAACCCTCAAATTTTTTTTGTTGACCTGTGTTGTTTTTAGATAGCTGTTAAAGCATGCTTGTGATGCAGAATGTTTGTCACATTCTAGTAAGTTTTCTTCATAGATGACAATGGACAAGTTTGGGGTGGGGAAAGGCAAGACTAACCATCTATCAAGCTATAAGTGAATCTGAAACCCAATAATCTCTCTACTATAACTCATGTTTAATTTAGAAAATGTCCGAAAAAGAAGATGGCTGTGTGCCTTATTATCTTTGGGTATGGATCAGCTGTTGACTATTATTTTTTCTGTTTCTGCTGAATAATATCCTATCTGTTAATTAACTGAAAGTTTGAGTTTAATGATTACGATCTAAGTGCAATAATATTATTCTGTGTTTCTTTCTAAATTTGCTGTTGAACCACATATTTATGTGTTTTTAAATCATGTTATTGACATGTCGACATCTGTTGAGTGGAACCATGCATATATATATGTACTTGAACCGTGTTAAGTTGAATATTGAGAATGATCACAACAACTGATTTTGTGTCTGATTCGGTTGTTCATGTAAGGACAAGGATTGAACTTTTGGAAAATTTTCCATTTGTGTAGTTTTTTTGCTCATTATATGTACATTAAATAGCAAAACTCTATCCTTAAGAAATACTCCAAAACTGATGTTGATGTTAATGATGCTGGTACACCTTCACCTAAGATAGAGAAATATTTCTATGATAGTGTGTAAGAGTAAAAAGCAAGATACAAATCTATACAACTAATGCACAGCTAATACCCCTCCTCAAGTTGAAAAGATTTGAAATGTCAAACTTCAAAAGAATTTGATTAAACAAACACTTGCCTAGAACCTTTGTAAGAATTTCAACCTATTGACGAGTATTTGGAACACAGGCTGAAACCACGACATATCTCATCTCTTACATGCTATGCATCATTTATTCTTGCTATTCAGGATCAGTACCTGTAAGGATATCAATGGTAAGGGAACTTGTTGGCATGGAGCTGGATGAAGAGAAAATAAAGTTACTCGGTGAGGAAGGGATTATTCCACTGCTTATCGAGATGGCTTCTGAAAAAAAAATTGAATCAAAGGACATGTCATTACAAGCGCTCGTCAAGTTGTCAGCCTTCCCTCCCAACAAACACCTTATTGCTGCAGCTGCAGGTGTCCCCCTCATTCTAAAGCTGCTCTTCTCTTCCCACATGATTGCTGTTGTTGTCGCCAAATGTGCTGAAATCATCGCAAACCTTTCCTCAAATGGCGATGGAACTAAATTTCTGGTTGATGAATCAGGCATTCTCCTCGATTTAGAGCCTGTCACAGCTGGCTTACTGGCTTTTCAACAGAACATAAACTCACTTGATGTTGTTCGGAAGCCAGCCTTACGTGCATTGCTCGGGATTTGTCAGTCTGAAGCTGCGCTTGTCAAGTCAGCCGTTCTATCTGCCAGTGGTGTCCCTGTAGTCCTTGGTCTCCTAGATGACGCCAACCAGGAGATACGTGAACTAGCCGTAAATCTCTTGTTTCTTTTCTCTCAGCATGAGCCAGAAGGAGTTGTAGAGTATCTTCTCAAACCTCGTCGATTGGAAGCTTTAGTTGGATTCCTTGAAAGTTGTGATAAAAACAAAGTACAAATGGCTGCAGCTGGTTTGTTAGCCAATCTTCCCAAGTCAAAAACATTGCTCACCACAAAACTGATCGAGCTTGGCGGGCTACAAGCGATCCTCGACATTATTAAATCTGGGAGCATCGAAGCTAAAGAAAATGCTCTCAGCGCTCTCTTCCGGTTCACTGATCCAACAAATCTCGAATCACAGCGCAATGTGGTGGAACTTGGTGCATATCCTCTGCTTGCTGACCTTCTTAAATCTGATTCAGTGACAACAAGTGCCCGGGCAGCAGCCCTGCTAGGTGATCTTTCAATGCGCACTCAGGAACTCAGTGTCATGTCCCCCCGGCGTATGGGTTGCATATTCATACCCCGAGCACGTGTCATGGTTTGTCCAGCACATGGCGGCAATTGCAGTGTGAAAACAACTTTCTGTCTGTTGGAAGGCAATGTGGTACCCGATCTTGTCAAGCTTCTTCAAGCTAAAGTCCACGCCACAGCCTATGAAGCGATTCAAACTCTGTCCACTTTGGTGCAGGAAGACTCTCCTTATAGAGGAGCTGCTGTACTGCATGACCATGGAGCAATTGGACCGACTATAGATGTTCTGAGATGGGGCTCTGAGTCACTGAAAGGGGAGGCATTGGGACTGCTGGAGAAAATCTTCAAATCAACGGAAATGGTGGACTCATATGGTTCGATGGCTAGATTGCCTCTTGTGAATCTTACAGGAAGGAGGATTTCTGAGTATGGACATCTGCAGAGGAAGGCTGCTCGGGTCCTACTTCTCATCGAACGCCATTCCAGATCTTCTATGTCTCTAGATGATGCCGGATCGTAGAATGAAAACTTGTTATCCATAGAACAATGGTATCATGGACAGACATGCGGAAGCTGGAATATATGAGGTATGGATCAATACAATATCGCCATTTTTTTCTCAGTTTTTCTTGCTTTTGTATTTTAGGCGTCGCAATACTTAAGTTTGTTATTTTTGAAGTATGTTTGATCAATGTTTCTGTGCAGAAAGTGAGTAATATGGTGCTATCATTTGCATAAATGAATTCATTTTAGCTAGTTTCATCGATCTTTTTGGCTCTGATATGTTCAACTTTACTTCATTATTTTGTGTTTGATTGTAAGCTTTCTATTGGGTTGGCTCCCTTCTTATTCAAGAGAAATATTTCCGTCTGCTTTGTTAACCGTTGGATGAATCTGAAAAACCGTTGGATGAAGCTGAATTTTTCAGAGAGTGTTTGTAACTCATTCCTCTTCTGTTTCAATTGTGATTTTTGATCTGATTCCTATATCTCAACCAAAAAATTAGAGCATATTTTTTTGGCTGGTTTCTTGATCTTAACTCTTATTAAAGTTTATAGTATTTGCTGGTTGATTGGTGATTGAAGGACTCTTGTATCCAATCTTTATAATAATGAATTTTCTTCCTTGCTCGGGATAACATGTGGTTTCTTTCATTATCTTGAAGAATTTTTCATGTTTTTCGTATTTTATTTATTCATTATTATTCCTTATTTTACTTTAGAGGATTGGCGACTCCTGTTTGTTAGAAAAATAATTAATGATGTATCCTACTAGCTTAAGATTTTAGGTAAGACGATCGTTCGATCATCTAACATGTGCAATCTGGAGAAATCCACGATCCGGTTTCATTTGCTTTGTGCTCTTTCCTCATTTACTGTGCAACATGTGCTTAGTTGATTTTCCATGTTCTGCATAAACTGGTGCTTCTGTGCACTGAAATTTGGCTTATGGTAACAGCAACAATTGATAATATAATGGATACTGTTGTGTGTATAATCCGATGCAGTCGACTTCAAGCATGGTTTTCGAGTCTTACAGATGATGAGCAACATTTTTTGAGCTTTAATCTCTCGAGGAAGCGATGCAGTGTGGAATTATCTCACTAGACAGTGCCCAAGCACCTCTTGCAGGTATTCTTTTGTTAGTTGCTTTTCTGAGTTTTGCATTCGATGAAGTATGATTCTTTTTCTTGAAATTCTAGTATAATTATTAGCTCTTTTCTAGAATCATAAAAGAGCCTGTGCTTTGATTTTATGATTCAAGTATATATTATGTGTTGTTCCGTAAGGCATAGCGGATGGTGTAGAGTTGGACATCTCATTGTGACGTCATGGTTCAAACTCTCGGGTTTAGTTTGGAGGGGCATTAGGTGTCTTAAAAATTTTAAAGTGATTTTTTTATTATTTTTATTTTTTATACGCAGTTGCTATTTTTCGAATGTGTTTCAGATAAACTTTCGGTCCAAGTACAAATTATACTAGACAAATCACGTATCGTAGATAAACATTTGGATCGAAAATTTGATGCTATATACTTTTTAATGCAAAACAAAATTTTGATACTATATTTTAAATAATAAAAAAAGATTAATGAAGAAAAACAATGAATAGTAGAAGGCCTGCTTATATAGATCACAAGCAACTTTTTTAATGAAAAAAAAATATATAGTTATTAGGTTCGATCGGGGGTTTATCGTATTTTCGGGTAGCCACTGCAGGTTTCCATGTCATAACAAAAAAAAAATGTGGTTAGATTTTGTGTTCATAGAAATTGTGTCGGTAATATAAAATTTAATCTTTTTGAATTATTTAATTTTTTGTTAGTAGATAAAATATATAATATATTATATTTTTTTATAAAAAAAATTGTACCACTTAAAAACACGACGTTTTAAAGAATTTTGCTCTTGTTGCCTCTGATGCAGATAACTTAATTGGCCTATGTATTTTATTTTATTTTTATGACGTAAGAACCTGCTGCTACTCGAAAGCGCCGATAGAAACTTAATATCCTGCAAATTAAACCCGATAGGCAAGTCACACAAGGCTAATTGGCCTATATTGCCTCTTCTTTTCATAGTTGGAGTTCTTCGATTAGGGAAAGAAATGGCGTGCATAGAGTTAACACCTTCGTTGGAAAGTTGCACGAGATGTCTACCATTTAGCAAATTCATTAGCTCTTGGATGCCCGGTTAGTGTTACTTCATGTAGGGTACATTTGTCGAGTGAAATCAAAAGTGATTGTTTCGTGTTTTGATTTTGATTTATAATTTAAGTAGTTGGGTTGATTAGCGACGAAACTAATTTTGGATACCGAATGGGCAAATTATTTTATTTCAATTTTATATTTTCAACCGTTAATTTTCAGATATTTTATTTGAACCGACAATTTAGCCCATTTATGTATAAAAAAAATTATAAGAATTAACTAGGCAGTTCGCTACTTGTGACTCCACTTTATTTTTTATTTTTCTTTTATAGTAAAATTATAAAATACTATATATATATATGTGTGTGAAAAAAAGAAAAAATAGAAATATATATATAGTAAAATTGTATTAACATTTAGAATATAAAATTGTATTTTTATAAGATGTTTATAATTAGAATGATTATATATTTTAGACATAAAATAGAGTTAAAATTTTAAATTAGGGAGACGAAATTACATGATTAAATTAAAAAAAAAAAATTACTTTTACCCTCATAAAAAAAATAAGAAAAAGTTTGAGGCCAGTTGCCTTCGGACCCTTACCAGGTCCGTCCATGTGTTTGATAGTAAGATTCATATAATACTCCCTCTATCCTTTAACAATTTATCTATTTTTTTTATTTTGGTTCGTTTTATAACAAAATATCTATTTTTTTTTTCATAACGTCATTACCTTTATATCATATCATACTAACAGGCTAATTTAGTTTTTTTACCTTTATGTAAAAAGCAAACGAATATATAGATATGAAACGGAGAGAGTATATATATATATATATAATATATTAGCCTTTTATTATTTTAAAAAATTATCTAAACCTTCAAAACATATTTAAACAAAACCGGACTTTGATAACTCCATTCCATCTAACTATTTTTTTTACTCCTATTTGATTCCACTAATGTTTATCTCTTCTTCACCTACACTTAGCCATGCATTGAAAAAAAAAAAATCAACATTTTTTTTTAAAAAAATATATATACATATATATATATATATATATATATATGGTTTTTGCTTTTTAGGATGCAATCAGGGAGAAAACAACATTTTTGAAAATATAATTCTCTAACAAATTCAAATAAAAATTAATATAAAAAATAAAAACAAACTCAAAAAAGCATGCTCTAAGTTTTCAATAAAATAATAATTGTGCTATTTTTTTCTAAAAAAAGTAATAAAATTAAAGTCTTTAATAGTAAAAGAAAAAAAAATCCAATATGCTTGTTTCTTCAATAATTAGTGAAACATAAATTCGATTATCAAATGTCAACAAAACCCTCTATAATTAGTGATTTTTTTTAAATAACATTTTTATGTATAATCTAAAATCACAAACCCTTGCTCTACAAAACAAGTAACATTAAACAAACTATGTGTGATATGTAGATTTCGAGGAAAAGTTTGAATTAGGAATGACAAAAATAAGTACAAATCGAAAGTCCAATTGCACGAAAAAAACCGTACTTTGGTCTAAAAAAATAGGCTTAAAATTTTTTTGCGGTGCATGACCCGACATGCTAATGAACCGGGCTGTGTCCAGGCTCATGAAGGTTGGGTTGTTCTTGGCCAATCCGACTATTTAAATTAATATTGAAATTTTAATAAATTTATATATATATATATTAATTTTTGAAATAAAATAAAAATTACAATATAGTTTGGTAGTAAAAGTCTTAGTTTATATATGTTTGATTGTGAGTTTAATTCTCTATTTCCGGCCGACCCTAATTACCAATCATAATTTGACCACATGATCTTACAGTCGTAAGTTCACCCCATACTAAAACATTACTTACGAAACCTTGCTTACTGTAGTTTTTTATGAAAAAATTTGAAGCAATAGTTATTTGACGAGTGTTTGGCATAATTTCTGCTGGATATAAAAAATATATATATATTCTTGCAAGACAACATATTTAAATGTTAAAGGAAAAAATCAATCAAACACCTTGAAAAATTGAATGGTAAATTATTTGTAAAGAAACATGTTTGATTACTTGAGGCTTTTATATGCATTAAAAAGTAAAATATGTTGCCACACAAAAAGAATTATTTGAGTTTTTTTTAACATATTAAAAATAATCATATTTTATTATTTAGTAAAAATATGTTAAATAATTTTGATATTTTTGTATTTGTATTATATATATATGTAATGATATATTTATAATTTATATAAAAATTAAAAATATTTCGATATTAGTATGTAATTACTACTGTAATAAATTTTTGAGTAATCATAATAAAATATACTTTCAAGTTTCAATTATGCCGAAAAAAGTAATAGTCTATTCTCTTTGATTTATTATTTGTATTGTGTATTCTCCAATTTTAAAATAATAATAATAATAATATCACAATCAATACTCATTTTATAAAAAATAATTGTTTTACTTAAAATATATATATATATATATCACTCAAAATATACGTACAAATATGCCAAAAGAATATACCAAATGCATATATAAGGAATAAAAAATAAAATTATTAATAATGTTTTTCTTCACTATAACTAAATTGGTAATGAAATAATGCATACGCCTTTAGAAAAAAAACATTTAATAATGTTATGTTATGTTTATTTTCCTTAAAAAAATTTAAATTTTAAAGACCGTTACATTAGCATTTGATTTTCCATGGTGTGTTTGTTTGAAGGTTTGAATTTTAGGTTGAGATTTGAATAGTAAAATTTTTTAATTTAAATAGTTTTATGATGTGATATAAATAAGTATTGATGTGATGTTTTGAATGTAAAATTGATTTTTAGTATAATATAAAAAAAATAAAAAAATAAATGTTTGATTTGATGTTTTTGGAGAAAATTTTTTATGAAAATAATAGAAATCTCACAAAATCCCTCAAACAAACACACCTGTACTCTCGGTCTAGTTTAAATGGTCATTTGAGATTTTATAATGTATATTTCATCTGCCTATTTTATTAGTTCACTATTATTTTCGTTATACACAATTTACTTTTTTATTTAAAAAAAATAATTATACACTCTAATTACATTTTAAATTTTATAATCAATACTATTTTTTAAAAATTAATTAATTTAATTAATTAGTTATTAATTTTACTTTATAATTATTCATATTATATAAATAATTATTTTTACTAATATACTTTTTAATTATTTATTAATTATATTTTACATAAATTTTCGTGTACATAGTCAGCTGAAAGTAACCGGTGAGACTATGGGACGAATGAAAGATTTATGGGGACTAATACTCTCTGAAACAATTGTCTCATTTGAATTTGACACGAGATTTTAGAAAATAATACTCCATTCGTCCCGAAATTAAATATTCATTTGTTTTTTGCATGTAGTTTTAAAAATATTAGTATTATATTGGGATATAGTAGGAATAAAGTAGAAATGACTAAAATAATCTTATTAGTATGTGTGATATAAAGGTAATGACATTTGTGTAATATATTGTATATTGTAAGGGTATTTGTAATGTTAGATAAATAATATAGTTACTAAAAAATTAAATGGATACTTTGTCATGGGACGGATTAAAATGAAAAAATAAATACTTTATGGGACGGACTAAAATGAAAAAATAGATACTTTGTTATGAGACGGACTAAAATGAAAAAATAGATACTTTGTTATGAGACGGACTAAAATGAAAAAATAAATACTTTGTTATGAGACGGATGAAGTAATATTATATTAAAAGTGAATATTAAGTAGATAACAAATATTAAAATATAGTGATATTTTTTTAATAATAATAAAAAATAGAAATAATTTTATAGTATTGTAATTATTTATAAAAGTAAAACTATTGTAAAATAGACTATTATTTTGAAATGAAAAAATATATTTAAAATATAAATATATATATTTTTAATAATAATAATAATAATAAAAGAAAATCTGTGAACACAAAAAATCACTTGAAGAGAATAGAAACACGTCAATAAATGCCCAAAAATAACTAAACACATCGAAGTTCTTTCACCACACATTTTCTGGCATATCCCAATTTAGCAAAAAGTGAAAAAATAAAATATTGTTTTTTTAGTTGGACTTTCTTTTCTTTTATTACAAAAATCTAATATAAAAATATATTATTTTTTAAACAAAATATTATATTTAAATAATTATTCAGACAACAATTTAAAATAAAAAATAAAATCAATCTCGAAAATAATACACACAATACCTCATTGGAATGAACACAATAATCGAAACAATGATTTATTTTACAAATAGACGTTGATACTATATTTTAGATATAAAATAAAATAAAATATAATATAATATAAAAAATAACTATTTAAATTGATCTGGTTGGAGATAAGGGTACGTTCACTTTGTTTTATTTTTTTTTAAATAATATATAAGTATTCTTTTACTTTTTGCACATATATTGAGCAAGAATAAAATAAAAATGACTAAAATAATTTTATTAATATTAAGTGATATAAATATAATAATATTTGTATAATATATTATAATTTGTAAGGGTATTTATATTATTAAGTAGACTGTACAATTGATATTTTATTACAGAACATATTAAAATAAAAAAATAAATAATTTGTTGTGACACGAGAGAATATAATATACTCCCTTCGTCCCAGATACCATGTCCACGTTGCCGTTTCTGTCCGTCCTACGTACCATGTCACTTTCCTTTTTTGGAAAATGATTATACACTTTAATCTCATTTTAAATTTTTTAATTTTAATTAAACTAATTAGTTATCTTAATCTTAATTTATAATTATTTATATTATAAAATAATTATTTTCACTAATATATTGTTAATTATCTACTAATTACATCTCTCTCAACGTGTCTACAGTGTAGCAAAACGGTATCCGGGACGGAAGGAGTATTAAACAATATAGATAATATAATAGTCTATTTGTTCACTTGAAAAAATAAATACTACTACTATTATTTTTATTGTATTTAATAAATATAGTATTTTAATAATAATTGATAATAATTTTTGTATATAAAAATTATATTATTTTAAATAATATTAATGTTAATAAGAATAAATATAAAAATGTTTTTAATATTTAACGAGAAGGGATTATCAAAAATCCCAACAAACCTACATTCAAATCCAAACAGACTTCACATCTTTTTAACAAAAATATTACATTATATCAATTTTTTCTATTAAAACACGATCAAATTTAAATAAAAAAGTACCAAATAATATCAAATCTCATAAAATATTACCCAAAAAAACAATTAATTAAATATTAATAATAATAATAATAATAATAATAATAATAATAATAATAAATAAATGGCCAATGGACGATGGCCATTCCCAGACTATAAATACGCATCGCAATCTCACCCACAGAGAGGAACAACGTCGACAGAGCCAGACACAGCCACAGCCACAGCCACTTCTGGAATCCATTGCAGGAAGAACAAAGAAATTAATTGCCTCCCCGTTTTAGGGCTACAATACTCGCTTTTTGAGGTAACATTAATGATTCGTTGCTTTTTGTTTCTCCCGATGCGCATGAATGGATTCGTGCTCTGTTTCTGATTCACGCCGTTTGTTCTGGAAATTGCGGTGCGCGCGTCGACGTGTTTGCGAAATTCGATCGATTGCGGACGAGCAATTTGGGGTTTTGAGTTAGGGTTGTGTGGGTGGGTGGATTACCATTGATTTATATGCGTGGTGTGTATTTCGTTTTGATTTTTGTTCTGGCGCCAATTTTGTGGCCTGCTAATGCTTGGTGGTTTTTGATTTTGGGGATTTTTGTTGTTTTTGTTAATCGATGGATTCGATTTTTTTTGCAATTGTGATTTGTGTGTAGATGTATTAATGGTATGATTTTTTTGATTCCTTGATGCATTCATCGACTTGGAAAAGTGTTTGCTACTGAGGTTCTTCGAATTTTTCGGCTAGAAAAGGAATTTTTAGGGTTTAGAATTCATGTTAGTGTCGGTTTTGTGGTGTTGAAGAATGTTTGGATCTATTTAGATGATTGTTGTATGTTTTCTTATTTGGAAATTCTTGTAGCTCTTTTGTTTTGGAACACAGCCTTCGAAAATTTCGAAAGAAAAGAGAATATTCGTTTAAGATTTGGATTTAGGTTTGGGAATAATAAAAATTTGAATCAAATTAGTGTTTGATGTAATATAAACAGATCATCGGACTACTTTGATGAATTAGAGTAGTGTTTGATTTGAAGAAAAGTGTTTCTCTGCGGGTGTGTGTTTGTTTGGGGGTCTGCATTTTGAATTGAGATTGAATTGAGATTTGAATAGTAAAAATTTTGAATTGAAATAGTCGAATGAGTGATATAAATAGGTGTTAGATGTGATGTTTTGAATGTAAAATTGATTCTTAGTATTATAGAAAAATGAAAAATAAGTTTTTTATTCATGTTTCTGGAGGAAAAAAATTTAATGAATAGTAGAGAAAATCGGGAAAATCCCACAAGCAAACACACCCTTTGAAGAAAACAGAATTTAAGGGTGTTCGATTCCTATTTCCGACTCTAATTTTAGTTAGTTTCGGTAATAATTGTTCGATATATCTTGAATGTAGTAGTAGCCTTCTATGTTTGTCATTGACTCTTATTTAGTAAGGTTGGATATAGTGGTTGTCGATTGGACATAACCTTTTCTGTTGACACAAATTCGTTAATATGTAATCTTTGTCTTGTTTCTCACGTGTGGATTGTCGTTACATCTTAAATTTGTCGACAGGAAAATGGGAAGTGCTGGAAAAACCGACTATGGTGCGTACACGTACGAGAATCTCGAGAGGGAGCCGTACTGGCCATCCGAGAAGCTTCGGATTTCCATTACGGGCGCCGGTGGATTCATCGGGTCCCACATCGCGAGGCGTTTGAAGAGCGAGGGGCATTACATTATCGCTTCGGACTGGAAGAAGAACGAGCACATGACGGAGGACATGTTCTGCCATGAGTTCCACCTCGTCGATCTTCGCGTGATGGAGAACTGTCTGAAAGTCACTCAGGGTGTCGACCACGTCTTCAATATGGCTGCTGATATGGGCGGGATGGGCTTCATCCAGTCGAATCACTCCGTCATCATGTACAACAACACGATGATCAGCTTCAACATGATCGAGGCTTCGAGGATCAATGGCGTCAAGAGGTATCCTGTTCTTTTCTCGTGCATTCAAACTCATTGATTTATATATATATATATATATATATGCATTCGTCACGTAACAGTTAAACGAATCGTAACGGTAAAATTAAATGCTTGCCTTGTTTGTATTCTCCTGTTTCGAATACGACAGGAGAAATATCGCCTATTTTGTTTTAATTTAGTTTCCAAACACTGATTTATTGTTGCTTCGACTTTCTGTATAGGTTCTTCTACGCTTCGAGCGCTTGTATCTACCCGGAATTTAAGCAGCTCGACACCAACGTTAGCTTGAAGGAGTCGGATGCGTGGCCTGCCGAGGTTTTCGTCTAATTCGCGACACAATGCACACGATTTATTCTAAACGATTTTACGAGTTTTTTTTTTTTTTTTTTTTTCCTTCGTATTTTTAGCCTCAAGATGCGTACGGTTTAGAGAAACTAGCGACGGAGGAAATATGCAAGCACTACAACAAGGACTTCGGAATCGAGTGTCGGATAGGACGTTTCCATAACATTTACGGCCCCTTCGGGACGTGGAAAGGTAACCTCGACGAATCCTTACGTACTTGACTTTGATTATATATATATGAGTTTTCCGACTTGTGATCTTTTGTGATTTGTCGAATTCTTCGATAGGCGGGAGGGAGAAAGCGCCGGCGGCGTTTTGTAGGAAAGCTATAACTTCTGCCGATAAGTTTGAGATGTGGGGCGACGGTTTGCAGACTCGATCTTTTACGTTCATCGACGAATGCGTCGAGGGCGTTTTGAGGTATGCGTAACTACGACGACGCGCTTCGAATTTAAAAATCATTTATTCATATTCATCGCGAGGTGTTCTTACGAAATTTTGAACCGACTATATATAGGCTGACGAAGTCCGATTTCCGCGAGCCGGTGAACATTGGGAGCGATGAGATGGTGAGCATGAACGAGATGGCGGAGATCGTCCTGAGCTTTGAGGACAAGAATCTCCCGATCCATCACATCCCGGGACCGGAGGGCGTGCGCGGTCGAAACTCCGACAACACGCTCATCAAGGAAAAGCTCGGGTGGGCCCCGTCGATGAGGCTGAAGGTACGTAAGTTCGATTCGACGCAGATGTTTTTCGTCGTATTTTTGGTTCGATTGACCGTATCGAATGGACGCAGGACGGGCTGAGGATCACATATTTCTGGATAAAGGAGCAAGTCGAGAAAGAGAAAGCTAAGGGAGTCGATTTGTCGGCTTACGGAACCTCCAAGGTCGTTGGGACCCAAGCTCCCGTCCAGCTCGGGTCTCTCCGCGCCGCTGATGGCAAGGAGTGATCGAGTTGATGAAACGATTTGGTGCGATACAAGTACTATATATATATATACATATCTATCTACATCTCTATATATATATATTTATATAGTTGCCCTATATGTTGTTTTGGTGTTGCCTTTTTTAAGTTATTTGCTATTGATTGCTCGTATTTTTGCTGGTTAACGGTTAACGATGCTCGTAGATTGTTTGTTTGTTTTGAGTACTGAATGATTGTCGGCTAGACCCGCTCGAATGCCAAATATTTTCGAATTTTATTGAGTTTTTCTTCTTTTTATTTATTTTTGGAAATTTGGAGATAGATGTGGTCCTGTTGTGGCAACGAGAAGAGCCATTCGATTTTGATAAGGTTCGTTGCCAGTGTAATAAGTGCAAACTAAATTGACGGTTTTTTGTCGACGGATCTAAACAAGTAATCACAGTGACTTGTTTTAGAGACAATTTGGGTGTGTTAGTTTGTGAGTTTGGAGTTTTGAATAGTTAAAGAAGTTGAATTTGAATAGTTGTTTGACGTGAGCTAAATAAATATTAATGTGATAATTTGAATGTGAAATAAACTTACATGTAAGACTTTTGTTGGAAGAATTTTATTTGTAGATTTTCAATTTAATTTTATTATTTTTTAATTTTATTATTATTATTTTTTAAAATATTAATTTACACATTATTTTTATATTATCTTAAAATTAATTTTATACTAAAAATATAATATTAATATATTAATATTATATCAAATAAATATTGTAATTCGAATTTTTTTATTTAAAACTCAATATTCAACTTCCAAACCTAGACGTATTAGAGTTATACAAATTATCAATATGTTGTTGAATTGTTATAATATTATCTGTCCCACTGAAAAGTTACTTACAATGGAGTTTTTTTTAATTTTTTTTTTTGTCTAATGAAAAATTGTGGTGTGTTTGTTCGGGAGTTTGAATTTTGAATTATGATTTAAATAGTAAAAAAGTTTGAATTTGAATAGTTATATGATGTGATATAAATAGATATTGATGTGATAGTTTGAATGTAAAATTAATTTTTAGTATAATATAAAAAATGAAAAATAGGTGTTTGATTTGATATTTATAGAAAAAAAAAAAGAGATAAATAGTATATTTAAAATCCAATCTCCCATACAAACACACCGTATAATGGATCTAATGCAATTGGGCTCAACCTACAGACTCTCACAGCCCAAAATCCATTTTTTGACATTTAATATTCCATCCGTGTCAGAATTATAGTATGAGCTGTGTTTGATATAGTATTTAGAAAATATTGATATTATATTCGTAGTGGGTAAAAAATATGGGTAAAATTTTGTTTTGCTCTTGTGAGTTTATTAGTGTAAAAAATAGTGTCAATTGTGTAATACTAATGAAAAAGTAAATGTTGTTTTATAGTGATATGATTATTTATGAAAATGATATTATTGTTTTGGGATGGACAAAAATTATAAATACGACTATTGTATTGGGACGGAGGAAGTATATATTATCACAAGTCCATACAATGCTATAGCTAGAGCTGTTAAATGAACCGAGCCGTTCGTGAACTCGCTTCGATTCGACTCGGTTAAAACTCGTTTGCGAACGTTAACGAGCCGAGCCGAGCCGAACAACATAAACAGACTCGTTTGGTTAACAAACGAGCCCGAGCTTTGTTCGCGAACGTTCATTTAAACAATATATTTATTATAAATATTATATATACATATAAAATTATAATTTATAAATAAATAAAATATTAATTTAAAATATATAAAAAAATAATTTTAAATTTTCTTTATAATTTATATATAAATTTAAAAAAATAAGACAAACGAGCTCGAACGAACTCGAACGAGCTTAATCGAGCCGAACACGAACACAAGCTCAAACAACAAAAATTCTTAACGAGCCGAGCTTGAACACTACGAACGAGCTCGAAAGCTTAACGAACGAGCCCGAGCCTTGTTCACGAACACTAACGAACACTTAAAATTTGGCTCGACTCGACTCGAATCATTAACAACTCTAGCTATAGCCCAAACTTTGGCCTAAAAATTCTTAGCCCAATTAACATATTTATAATTATTGTGGGTTCACTTATATTTCTCGTATTCCTATTAAAAAAATATATATATTTTTATTATTTTTGTTATTTTCACTATCCATTCTATTTTGGTAAATATAATTATATATATACTAAAATACTTTTAATTTTTTTTAAATCTAAATTACAAACATACACTTATCTTTTATATAAAATTAAAGGGTAAAAATGTCAATTTTTTTTTTTCACATTTTTACTGACTAATAAAATATTATTATTTTTTAATTTATTACAAAACTTCAAAGAGCTCCTTTGGACCGGGACAGAAGAAGTATTTTATCCAACTTAAAGCATTACAATCACATTCCTTATTACCTTTAAAATTGTTCTTTTAATTTAATTAGTTAACTTTCTCATTAACTTTAATAAAATATACAGTTATTATCTATTTATTATCTTTATTAAAAATTAGTTTATTTTAACAAAAATAATAATAATAATAATTTAATATTATTCAAAATTTTAAAATTTACAATTTTTTAAAAAAAATTATTTTAAATATATATGTTGATTTATTTCGAATAATTTCAATTTTAAATTAATAAATTATATTTTTAATATATTAAAATTTATAAAAATTAATATTTAAAAATTTAAATATAATACTATATAAAAATATGATTAAACAGTAAAAATAAGTAAATAATTTATATATATTATGTTAGAAAAAAATACATAAATAAATAAATGATTATAAATCCTATAAAATAGTAAATATAATATGTTGAAAGTGATTACTTATAATGAGTAATAAAGAAAAATAATTTATATATTATGTAATAAAAATGTATATAAAGAAATAAATTATTATGAGTCTTATAAAATAGTAAAAATAATCTATTGAAGGTGATTATTATAAAAGGTGATAAAAAAGAATAATTTGAATACTGAGTTGAATCTTACTTGAATTATAGAAATAAAAAGAGATAATAAAGTAGAGACAATGATAGAAACATGTGCTCTTATGGTGTTAAAAAGTTACGGGGTAGGAAATAGGAAATTTATAGTTTGGAAGGAGCAAAGTGAAAATATTAATATTGCAGCAAGTGGGTTGGGTAAGAAAGGCTCATTTCCAACGTTACCCCCCGAAAGATATAAATATCGAAACGCACCTACTCATTCGCCTTTCCTTGACCGCAATTTTGGTTGAAAATCCGACCACCAGAACCAGAATCGCTTGATCCACCGTCGGAATCGAGCACCGATTTTGTCTCCCTGTTGTCAGAATCCGCATCGCGATCGTTTCCGTGGAGGTACGGTTTTAAGATCCGTTTCAATTTTGATGGAATTAGGTGATTGTGGTGGATCTTAATCGGTGGAATTTTTTCATTTTTTACTTTTTTGAAATACAGTTGAGAGATGGGGGTGCTGCTGTCGAAGATGTGGTTCATGTTGTTTCCGGCGAAGGAGTACAAGATCGTGGTGGTTGGGCTGGACAACGCGGGCAAAACGACGACGCTTTACAAGCTTCATTTGGGGGAAGTGGTCACAACGCATCCGACTATTGGAAGCAACGTTGAGGAGCTTGTTTACAAGAATATTCGATTTGAGGTAGTGTTTGTTTTTATTAATTTATTAACCAAAATATTCTATTTGAAAAGATTATATATCTAGTTGAAGGAATTGATTGATATACTGATTGAACCGAATGTTTGATTATAGTAAAATTTTTACTTATATGAATGTAATAGTATTGATTTAATCTTATTCCTCAAAATTTGTTATTATATTGTATAATATAGTGCACTTAATAGTCAAAATGGTTGCTTGAAGCCAGTAATGGTTGGATGTTTGGAGATATTTGTTGTAGAATAGAACTGAGGATGAATAAAATGATTCTGAATATGCAATCAAGTGTTATTGTAAAATGGCAATGTGTGTGTGTGTGTCTAAAGTTATATAGATGAGGAGTTAGCATATCGTCTTGAACTGTGAAAGTATATATAGGAGAGACGGAGGGGTGCGAGACTGATTCTGATATCGTAACCTTGTAAATAAGATCAAGAAGGGATATATAAGTTTTTGGTACATCTTATGGACGGTGATAATTTTTTTCGAGTTGTCTGTGCTAGTTCTTTTGATATCAATAACTTGAGTGAAGCACTGACAACGAAATATCGTAATGCAATTATAGGATGCATACACTACCATTCCCCAATTGCTGTTTGATTTTTCGCATGACTTGTGAGCAGCGTACGTAGTTGTTTCTATCCAAAATTTCTTTTGTAGATTCTTTCTATGTAGTATGATCTTTCACTTCATTTTGTTGTAGAGGGAATGGAATTACCAAGTGATTCTTGGATACAATCAGAATTTCTTACTTGTAATTATGTGATCTAATAGTTCAAATTTTATTGCCACTCTTATTCTGTACCTTAGGTTTGAATGCCTAGAAATCCTCAGACATCTTTGGCTGAAACAATGAACAAATTTCACGAAAGATTACCTCGAATAAGAGCATTCCTTGCGGCTCTACAGTATTGTTTATTAGTTGCAGTTTCTTTGGTGCTGCTGCTTTCGGAAATGCTTCTCTGCTTTTCTTTCCAAAAAGAACAAGCTTTATAGTTGGAAAATGATCATCAAGCTTTGGAAGATCTTTTACCTTCATCTTGCATATCATTTACAGCAATTTGTTATGATGATAGTTACCCGTCTATGCCATAGTTCAGTGCTACTTTCTTGGACTCAAAAGAAGCTTGCTTTAAGCTCTGTTTTTGGGGTGTAAAGAAGGCACTTTATTTATCTCCTATTTGAGTTGCCTTTAGGAGTAGCAAATAACTTGAAAATAGTTGAAACCCTATAGTTGAAAAATTGGAGAAGAAGCTTCTGGGGATTGTCCTACTAAACTCAGTCTTATCTAACCTTCCGGTGCACTATATGCTGCATTTCAATTGATTTATTTCCAACAGACCGGGACCAATTTAATGTAGGCTTATCTGAAGAGGGAGCAATGATAAACTCATTTCATCTAGTTAATTGGGAGATGGTGTGACAACCAATGGAATTATCTGGATTAAATTGTAAAGTTCCTTTCGAGAAGGCTTTGTTAAAGAAATGGCTGTAGAAATTTAATACTGAACATGACCAATATTTTAAAAAGCTAGGGCTTGAAGGGACAGGTTATCGTGTGGGTTTTGGAGATGATTTGTCTGAGAGTGGAAGAACACCGTGGTGATTATTTAGTGTTATTTCAGGTAAGGTAAGTTGATTGCTATTTTGGCATGATGCAAGAAATGAAGATTCTCCATGTCTTGCTGTTTCTTGATGTATAAGATGTAGCAAGGGTTAAAAGACCATTGGTAGATAGGTTTGGAGGGAGAATTAATCTCACGGTTCATGGGGATTTAGGTTGGGCAATTTAGGATCGAATGCTTGAAAGTTATGCAAGATCCTTCGATTTTTCCAATTTTCAAGTGAGTGGCAAGTTGTGGTGGAGGGAGACTAAAACCAGAATGGTAATACTTATATGGACAAAAGGCACGAGTGCTTTCACTTGTATAAACAGATTCGACTTAGTAGAGGCTGTGGTAAGGTGTTCTTTTTTCTTTGGGAGGTCGATGAGTTGGATGAGTACTTGTTGTTTCCTTTTTGGAGCACGGGAAGTAACTGTAAAAAATTTGGGACGATTCTGTGATGCAGGAACTTTAGGGATGGTCTGGGATTTCATGGTTAGACATGCTCCATTTTCGTTCATGTCATTTTTAGTTTAGAAGTCTGTATTTAAATCTCGATAGCATACTGTTTCTCGTATATTTGCTGCTTGACTGGTAAAGATCCCTCAAAGTTATCTTTAATCTATCCTTGCTGTTTTCCGAGGATGCAATTACGGCTTCGAAATTTATTGCACTATTACAACCAATTTCTCAATAGTTTTTGACTTAGTGATTGGGTTTGCAATGTGAGTAACCTGCTGGCATTAAATTTGTTATCTCGGTTTTCTGCTACTCGAAATCTCAAGAAAAGTTAGAACTTTTTGCCATTTTTGGGTCCTGTTGTCTCCTTAGAGCTGACAATGGGACGATTCATGGCGGATTCGTGTACTACTTTAAACGGATTAAATAATTCAATCATAATCCGACCCGTTTATTATCGTGTCGGGTTCGTGTTGACTCGTTTATTATCGTGTCGGGTTCATGTTAGACCCGTATACATAATTAAATCGAAATATTTTATTCAAATTCAATTATTTTTTGTCAGTTGCGGTGTTATGTTAGTTTTTGTTGTTTCTAGAATTATTTAAAATTGAACTTAGATTTAATTAATATGTGGTATAATTATATAATTATAATTATTTTACATGTATAATAAATATATAAATTAATATTAATATATTATAATCGGATTGTCGCGTCGGACTCGAGTCGAGAGACTCAACCCTAATCCGACCTGTTTATTATCGTATCGGTTTTGTGTTAATCCGTATACATAATCGGGTTGAAATTCTTGATCCAAACCCAATTATTTGTTTTTGCCAGCTCTACATCTCCTCCATGTGTACGAGACATGGTACAAATGAAGTTGTTGGACGAAATTATGACCTTGTGCCTGGAATTTCTTTGTTTGCTTTAATCTGTATCGACTCTCTATGTGATTTTCTAATCTCCCTTTTCTTACAGCCAAAGAATGGACGAATCGATCGAAGACACACCCGAGTTCTTAAATTCTTAACACACATTTCGTCCGATATCCTAATCTCATTTTCCCGTCACCAGGTCTGGGATCTCGGCGGGCAAGACAGGCTACGGAAATCATGGACAACCTACTACCGAGGAACGAACGCTGTGATAGTCGTGATCGACAGCACAGACAGGGCCCGTATATCCATAATGAAAGACGAATTATTCAACCTCCTCCCGCACGAGGATCTGCAGGGCGCGGTCGTGCTCGTCTTCGCCAACAAACAGGACCTGAAAGACGCGATGACGCCCGCCGAGATCACCGACGCCCTGTCCCTCCACAGCATCAAGAGCCACGATTGGCATATCCAGGCTTGCTGCGCCATCACCGGCGACGGCCTGTACGACGGGCTGGGATGGATCGCTCAGAAAGTCACCGGAAAAGCGACTAGCTAGAACAAACACCAGGTAATACAATACTACACAGCTCGTTCTTCTCGACTCTTCTTCGATTTATCTTGACCGAATTTATGGTAGATTTAAAAGTTGCTGTTTGTTGCCGGGGTTAATTTTACTGTTGTTTTTATTCGTGCAAGTACTTGTATACGAAGATGTGTTGATCGTTTATGCTTTGTTTTTACGCTTTTGTGTCGATAGATTCTTGTGTTCCATTTTATGCTAAGATTCGATTAGTTTTTTCAACATTGGATTGAGTTTATAGTGTTGGGATTATTCTCTTTGTCGTTGAATCGAATGCTAAATAAATGTCGAGTGTTCTCTCCCTCCCTCCATCGTCGAGTTAAGAACATTGATAATGTTGTTGTTGTCGACATCTATATGTTGGATTCGCGTAGTGGATTATCTTTCCGTTTTTTTATCGCCTAGTTGCGGCTTTTGTAATAAGATATGGTTTGATCGACACGTAGTATAGTGTTGATTAGTCCTAATCAGTATGTGTATATTGTGTTAACATACATTTTATATGAATATTAATCGTAATATGTATTGTGTGAACTATTACCATACATCCTCCATAACGGTGTGTTTGGTTTGGGTCTGAATTTTGTATTTTTTGTTGGTGTTTTGGATTTAAATAATAATTTGATATTGAGAATAACATTGAAATAATATAATATAAAAATGAGAAAAAAGAAAAGGAAAAGAACAAAAGTTACTTAACCAGGCTTTAATCACCAAACATTGTCTCAATACCATTATACATAGTAGGCACAAGTATTATCAATGTATTACATATTACATATCAATATATATATATATATATTAATATTATATATCACACAATGCCACAAATTTTCATTAATGGCCATGAAAAATCTTCAACCAAATAGAAGATTAAAATAAAAACACAATAAAATAAAATATTTTGAAAAAAAAATAATTTCGAATTTAAATATTTCCCTCAAAAATCAACAAAAGCTTCACAAAAACAGCAAAACCTTAACTGATGGCTCCCGAGCAGCAAATGCAAGTAGTGAATAGCCATGGCCTCGCCTTCTTCTTCCCCACTTCTTTCGCCGGCGCCGGCGCGGAGCAATCTTCATTTTCCGGCGACATTTTCACGTCGACATTAACCTTCGGTGATTCAAGAGACGGTGTCGTTAAACCCGAGCTTTCAGAATTGCTTCTTTCCATTCTAATCGTCTTCTCTTCGACCTCGACTGCTTCGCTCTGCAATGGCTTCTCCGAGCACTCGACGTTTCGGATTTGGAATCGAGCCGAGCAGCTCGAGAAAATTTTCGTCATCGCCCTGTCGTTGTAAAGCAACGGAGTTTGATCCGATTCTTCGCACCTCGCCGTGTACGTTGCCATGCCGAAGTCGAAGCTCGGGGACTTTCTCATCTCGGTTTGCACGCCGATGTCCTTTGGCTTCGGCTCGAACCCGATTTCTTGTAATGTTTCGGGTTTCGATTCCATGTCAGAATCGGATTGATTGCTCCGAGGTAGATCGACGTCGGTAGTATCGAGCGATGATTGTGTTGTTACGACATCGTGTGAAATGTCGTTGACGTCCTCCGACTTATTGTTGTCTTCTTCGAGTTTGTTTCTTGCGATCGAATCGACCTCCGGTTGGGCATCGTCGTCGATGTTCTCTAGCTCGATGTTTGAGGAGTCATCTAAGCACATCTGATGTTGCTCATGTATTGGCTCAGCTTTATGGTCGAAACGTGAATCTACTTCGATGGATTCTTGTTTCTCTACATACACATTTGGGAGTTCGCATTTTTTTTCGAATTCTCGCGGGGAAGAATTTAGCGAAGAAACGATTGTTTCATCACTACTTTCACTATCCATCTTGCCATCAACCAAGTTGTCGCTTTTCTCGCCATTATTCACGCTCGAATTTAACGGGACACTTTTATTTGAGTCGTTTTTGGCTTTGGTGTCGATCATACGGCATTTTGGTTCGATCTCGGATGGATTGCACGATCCCTCGATCTCGTCTCTTGGTATACTTCCATCTTTCGTTTCGATAGCTTCATGAAGTACGACGTGAAAATTCAATATAGTCGACGATTCTTTTGCATATGAATCCATGCCATTCGAGCGTAGTTCCTCTAACATGTGTGCAAAAGTTCGATCATAAAAAAAAAAGACACATATATACTTCACATCTTTTAAACATGTTCGAACTTGAATACCTCGACGATGATATTGTATTTAGTGTGCGTGTATATATATATATATATATATATATATGCGCGCGCACAAGTTTAATAAATTGAAAACAAAAAGTACCTTTCAAATTGCTTGATTCATTCTGATCGCTCATTTCATTACCAAAAACAAGTGTTGCTTCTTTCAAACTCGAATCTTTCGAGTCTTCAACATTGCTCGAATCATTAGGAAAAGCTTCATTGGCGAGAGCCTTCGACATCTCTAAAAAAATTATCACGACGCTACAATATGTATATATATATGAAAATGCGCGAAACTTAACATATACTAAATATGACTTTTTCACTACTAACCCTTAGGATTTTCGCTTAAACAACATCGATCATCTTCTATGCCACGATTAAAATCCAGCCCTTCATTCTTGATCTCATGCGAATCCTTTGTTTCATCGACTCGATTTTCTTCTTCTAACTTGCGACTAGAATGCGCTTCCATGGCCTCATCCCGAGCTTTCTCTTCTACGACATGAAAAAAAAAAAAAAAAAAAAAGAGAGAGAGAAGAATTAATCATACTAAGTTTGATCGAAAAAATGTTTAACTACCATCGTACGATCAATGATCATACCAATACTCCCCGTCGTGTTGTTGTTCCCCATCTTCCTTCGAACATTCGATGATGAAGATGACAAGAAGGAAGAAGGAATAAGAGATGAGATTGAAGAGTATAGAGCGACTTTAAGAACTCATCATGTTTCCTTAAACCATAAGCCTTTTTAACTTTCTTGTGGGACTAAAGAAGCCTCTAATTAAGTGGCCACACACATTTAGGGTGTTTGTCTTGGCTATTGGATTTTAAATATATTATTTATTTAATTTTTTTTCTTAAAAAACATTAAATCAAATACTTATTTTTAATTTTTTATATTATACTAAAAATTAATTTATATTCAAAATATCACATCAATACTTATTTATATCACATCATACAACTATTTAAATTTAAAATTTTTACTATTTAAATTCTAACTCAAAATCTAAACCTCCAAACAAACCCACAGTTTCTTTAGTACAACTTTAATAAAAATATATTATTATTATTATTTTTTTATAAAATATTATACTAAAATACTATTTAAATAAAAATTTATATAATTTTTTTTAAAGAAATTAATCTTAAACTATAATTAAATAAATTGATTTTTTTTATATAATTTTGTTATTTTGTACCATTATTGTTATCCAATTTTGTGTTCAATTTGTTGTAAAAGAAAAAAAAAAATACACAATTTTATCACAAAAAGAGTAAATTTTATAAACTCAATTTTATACCTACTCCTTCCGTCCTACTTAATTTGTTCACTTTTTCTATTTTTGTCCGTGCCACTTAATATGTTCTATCTTTCTATTTCCATCCGTCTCACATTCTAAAATTTTTAATTTATATTTTTCTTATTTTAATTAAACTATTTAGTCGTCTTAATCTATAATTATTTTTGTTAATATACTTCTTAATTATTGACTAATTACACAATACCTAAAAGTCTTTGTCTAAACAAAATAAGACAATTTAAAGTGGGAGGGGGTAGTAATATATTTACCTGTTAGATTTGTTTTTCCGTTTTACTAATCAAACTTTTTTTCCCCCGAAAATATCAAATCAAACACCTATTTTTTATTTATTATATTACACTAAAATTAAATTTTACATTCGAAATATTACATTACATATTTATATCACATCAAACCACTATTTTAATTCAAAATTTTACTATTCAAATCAAAATCTTATAAGTAAACACACCCTAAGACATCTCCAATCCACCAACTCCATTTATCCAGTTTTAACTCTAAATATGTAGTTGCTACCGTAATTTTACTCCAACCATAACTCTATTTTTCACTATTATTATTCAAATATTCTATTTTTCCTATTATTTTAAAAAACTTTTTATTTTTATAATTTAAAATAAAATTTTAAAAAATAAAATTTAAATTTAAAAATCAAATTTATAATTTTAAATTTAAAAAATAATAATAATAACACAACGCCAAAAAATGGCGTTGCTACAGTGCAACACCAAAATTGGCGTTGCACTGTAGCAACGTCAATTTTTGGCGTTGGATTTGACCTGGGTTGGAGACAACTCATGCCAAATATGCCAACCCAGTGAGTTGGAGATGACCTAAGTGTGTTTGTTTTGGAGTTTGGATTTTGAGTTGAGATTTGAATAGTAAAAATTTTGAATTTGAATAGTTGTATGATATGATATAAATAGGTGTTGACTTGATATTTTAAATATAATATAAAAAATAAAAAATAAGTGTTGAATTTGATATTTTTAGGAAAAAAAATGAAATGAATAGTGAATTGAAAATCCAATCCCCAAACAAACACACCCTAAGTATATTAAAATTATTGTTTAAACTAAAATTAATGAAAAATCAAACACATCCACAATATTCTCACTAATTTTTAAATTCTTAATAAAAGTAAGAACCACGTAATTATGAATGATAAATTTGTAAAAATATTCTTAAACAATTACCATTAAAATATTATTATTATTTGTTAATATACTTAAAAAAAATTAAACATATAAAATAGTGAATATATAAGCATATATATATATATGGTTAGTGATGGGGTTGAGAGTTGATAATTTATTTGAGTAAAAGTTAGGAGAAAGATGAGCTGTTGAGAAAATTATTTAATAAGTACCAATATATATATATATATATATTATTTTATTTTATTTTTTATTTGATTTATTTTATTGATTCTTTGGAGCTGTCAAAAGTTGCATTTTCAGGTGTGGTGTTGTGTTGTTTTGAGACAACTAAAACTACAAAGTTGTTATATAATAATAATTTATGTATTCTATTAATAACCTCTCTATTATTAAATTTTATATAATACTTTTTAGTTTGATTTCGGCTGCTTGCTATTTTTTATGGGGACATTCAATTTTGTCACAGAGGTGAGCTTGTTCTTTTACCAATTGATTTAAATTTTCTTTATTATAAATCTTTCATATTTCTTGATAAAAATATTTTTATTTTATAAATATTTTATCATAATATCATTTAAATTTAAATTAAAAATTTTCTTATAATTGTAGCGATCATTACTCCACGGTCCATTAAAATTAGTCTATTTTGAGTCCAACATGACAATTAAGAAAATTGAGCATTTTATTGAAAAAGTGATAAAAATAAAAATATAGTTGAATGTATTTTTAAAAATCTAATTTAAAATTAAAGTAAATGAAAGAGAGAGAATGTTATAAAAGTAGTGATATTTTGTTGTAAATAAATATTAAATAAAAAAATAATAATTAAATATTAATTTGTAGATTTTGCCAAAATTATTAATAGGGTAACTTTAGTTGACAGACTAAAAAAAATTAGAATAAATTTGATCGGAAGGGGAGAGTATTTTTCTTTATATAGAATATTAAATTAAATATTTATTATTATTTAAATATATATTTTTTCATTTCCAACTTCACATTAAATATTATTTAATTAATTTAAATCTTTACTATTTTTAAATTTAAAATTCAAATTAAACCTTAAAAAAAAAGTTCTGCCAAACTTTAATGATAAAAATATTGCATCCATCCCTTTATTATTATTATTATTATTATTCATTGATTTAGGGTTTATTTTGTACGATTGTTTTTTATTTTGCAAGTTAAGTATTTTCTATGTGATTATACTTTTATTTGTATTTCATTTAGATTTAGATTTTGAGTTTGAGTCTTGTGTTTTTCTTTTTTTATTTTGATTTTGATTTTGTTGAGTTTTGATTAAATGATATTTTATTTAATGTAATTTATAAATATATATATATAATTATTAAAAATCATGTGAGTTTATTTATTAAAAACTTTAAACACAGGTACAAGAAATAGAGGATAGTTTTCTTTTCAGGGTAAACAGTTTTTTTTAGTCATGTAATTGGACCCCTAATCATTTTAGTCCGGTAAGTGGAACATATCGTAAACTAGTCTCATAAGTGAAAAATTTTCGTTGTTTTAGTCCTCCGGTGCCGGAGACGCCCGCGTGGCTCGCCGGAAGCCACGTGTCCACCAGGTGTCCCGCCAGGTCAGCGACACCTGGCGGACACGTGGATTTTATTTTATTTTATTTTTTAAATTGGACCAAATAAAAAAATTTAAAAAGGCAAATAAAATTTAAAATAAATTTAAAATAAAATAAAATCCACATGTCCGCCAAGTGTCGCTGACCTGGCGGACACGTAGCCTCCGGCAAGCCACGCGGACATCTCCGGCATCGAAGGATTAAAACAACGAAAATTTCTCACTTATAAGATTAATTTGTGACATGCTCCATTTACGGAACTAAAATGATTAGGGGTAAAATTACGATACTAAAAAAAACAGTTTACCCTTCTTTTTATAATGAAAAAAGTAATTAACTAAAAAAAGTGATAGTCGCACATTGTAGTGGTTTGTTATTTTTGTATTTGATTATGGTCTTGATTTTAGTTTAAAGTCTAAACTGTGGTTGCATATGATATTTTATTAAAATAAAATAATAATTTTTATAAACATTGTAAAGATTGTATTATAATAATAACTTAAAGGGAACATTATCTTTGGTCTTTTAATAATAAGAGGTGCATTAGTTTGGTTTATTTTTATTTTTATTTTTACTTTGAATAGTTATTTTGCTATAATATATTTTTTTTAAGAAAATAATACTACTTTCTTCCCATAAGAAGAGTATCATGAATTTTTGTATGTTGATTTTTTAATATTAATTATTATATTAAAACGTAATACAAATCAATGAAAAAAATTCAATAATACATTTATTAGTCTCTTCTAATACAAATACAATATTATTTATGGAATAAATTATACAAATTTAAAAATATTTTTAATGTTAATTAACTACAATGATAAAAATAAATAAATGTTGCTATGGGACAAAGATAGTAGTTCTTTTGTCTACTTCAAAAGTAAATATTTATTTTTGCAGAAATTGAATAAATATTATAATTGATAATAATTTTAGTATGTAAAAACTATTTTATTCATATGGTGGATAAAATTAACGTGGGAGTATTAATATAAATAAATATAAATGTGAAATTATTTGTAATATGTAGTGAAGTTTGTGTATATTAAAAAAATTTGATATTTTATGTTTGGAAACTAAAAATAATAAAGCATATATATTTACGGGGTGGACGAAAGAAGTACATTTTTATAAAAACTCATAATGGTTTTAATAGTTAAAAAAATAAATTAACTTTCAAAAAATATTTTTGAGTGCTGATTTGCTCAAATTAATATATATATATATATATAAAAGACAATGGCATAAATAACAACATAAGATAATATAATATATACGTATATTTTTACAATACATGATAATACAATATATTTTTTTCCGTCTCGTAATCAAGTATTCATTTACTTTTTGCGTATTGATATTTGAATAATAATTATTATATCAAAAAGTATTACAAATCAAGAGAAAATACCAAAAAATAATTCTATTAGTATCTTATAATACTAATATAATGACATTCTTACAAAAAATTATACAAATATAAAGATATTTTTAATGTTAAGTATAATGACGCAAATAGTAAATGAATACATTATTATAATACAGAGGGAAGTATTATTAATTTTGGTACAATAAACATATATATTACACAATATAATATATAAATTGTACTCCCTTATTCAAATCTATGCTTACTTTCATTTTTGATTTGTCATCGAAAAATATTCTCGTTTATTTTTTAAGTAAAAAATCATTATACTTTTGTATTTTTTTTTACTATAAAATGAAAAAATAACAATTATTACTCACTTTGATTAAAACTCGTGCCCAGTCAAGTAAGCACACATTTGCATGATGGAGGGAGTACAATATATATTTTTATAAAACATAATATTATACTCCCTCCGTTCCAATACAATAGTCTTATTTACCATTTTTGTCAGTTCCAAAATAATAGTCTTATTTTCATAAATAACCATATCACTATAAAACTACCCCTACTTTTTTATTTTTATTACACAATTTCCACTACTTTTTACCTTAATACACTCACAAGGGCAAAAAAATTTTTTATTCATACTTTTTACTAACTACCAATATAATATCAATATTTTCTAAATCTCATACCCAACCAAATTAAGAGTATATTTATGGACGAATGGAGTATTACATATGTGTGTTATTTATCTTGCAGTTAGAGTGCTGACTGATTTGATTGACCCGCTAATTTGATCCAATCATCACTCTACTCGTGGCATTGAATATAATAAAACCAAAAAATTCATAAGTAATAATGTCATTTTTGTGAGCGGTATTTTTTAATAATAATTATAAAATTACTATTATTTTTTATTCCAAAAATAACTTAATAACTAATAATGTATATATTAATAATTTAAGCCATCTAAAAGGATTCCTTTTCGACAAAAAATTCTTAATATCTGTGGAACAATTAATGGCCTAGATTATGATAGGACCACCCTACTAATGAATTCTAAAATTAAAGAATTTCATAGTTGATGAATATATATAATATATATTGCGTGAAAAATTGATATTTAATATGATATATGTAATATATTATCTCTGTTATTTTTTTTTTCTGAAAAGAATTATACATTTTACTCTCATTTTAAATTTTTTAATTTATAATTTTTTTAATTTCAATTAAACTTATTAATCTAAAATTATTTTTATTATAGGATAATTATTTTTACTAATACATTCTTAATTATTTACTAATTATACTCCTCATAAATTCTCGTATCTACAGTAAAATATACATCGTAGCAAGGACGGAGGGGAGTAAAACATTTGAAATAAAAATACCCATAGTTGTTACAACATTATCAACTATATAATCATAAACTATTTGATATATTTTCTTTAAACTTACATGTTCGACGATACTATGCATATATTTAAAATATAGTCCAACGGAACGAGCATTTCGTTGAATAGTTTTGTTCTATACAACGTTATAAAATTAATACACATCGTTCAATAAAACGTTCTATTAGATCAATAAAAGATATATTAGAGACTTGAAACTCGTTCTATTCATATTTCAAAAAAATTTGTGCGCCTCTTCGCATAATCCATCCTATTAGTTTATAGTAAAAGAAATAATGTTACAAACTTAATTATGCCCAAATATTGAATAAAGTTTCATAATCTTTAAATTATTTAGGATCATCAAATTTATATATACCCAAAGGATAGTTTGTAACTTGTGGGGCTATTCATTTGGTTTTCTTGGTGTTAAAAGACTTTATTCTTTATTCTTTTTAAATAAATATTTTATTACTATATAATCCTTATCTGGAGGCGTCGGGATTTGAATCAATTCCCACACCATCAGGTCATTTCTTACAGGACACATATTTGTGGTCTTTGACTATAGATTGTATTGTCCGTTTATGTGATTATATTTATATTATATTAACGTAGAATGAATAAAACATTTTACTCTTCAAGTACGCTTTGCATAAACTCTTGACCGAATATAATAACTTGCAAATTAAGCCCACCAAAACAAATCACAGTATGTGTTGTTTGTATTTATACTGTATTTTTTACTATGTAATGTCAGCATTGTACTGAATTTTTTCAATCAATATATTAATTGCCGCATTTGATTATTAATTTTTTTCAAAAAATTAATCAAATTACTCTCTAAATATAAAATACAAAAAAAAAAAAGAAAAAATAACAAACTAAAAAGAAAACCAAAGCTTTTGCCGAGAGAAAAATTAGTAAATTAAGGGAATATTATTGCTATTTGAAGTAATCATTTTAGAAAATATTGAATAATGCTATCACCTTTCATTTAATACATCTTTATTTACTTTATCTTGGAGTTTGTTATTTTATGATTTCAATTGAATTTATTCAGTTATATTTTTTAATAAAAATATACTTTATCCGCTTCAATACAATAGTCTTATTTACCATTTTTGTCCGTCTTAAAATAATAGTCTTATTTCCATAAGTAATCATATCACTGTAAAACTACTATTACTTTTTCATTATTATTACACAACTGCCACTACTTTTTACACTAATACACTCATAAAGACAAAGAAAATTTTTATCCATATTTTTTACCAATTACCAATACAATATCAATATTCCTTTAAATATATTATTCAAACAAAAATTTAAATTAACACCACAACCAAATAATAGCCAATATTTTATATTCTTTTCCTCCACCAAAATTATAGCCAATTTTCTTTTTTAATTGTCCAACTAAACTTATACATTGAGTTACATTACTCATTCATATAATTTGATCCTCAATCGATCAATCCAATGTTGTGTTACATTACTCGAAATAAGACTAAGAGAGCCGAAATCTTTTTCTTATTTACTTATTTTTTATGTGCTACGCTACATGTGTTGAGGCATCCTATTTTTGTGTCTGAAGTAAACGAAGGACCAAAAGTCAATTAATTTATTCCGACTATAATTGTGAGCATTGATCAAGCCGGGACAGGTTCCGCCAATCTCTCATTCTCGGATTTAGCCAAACTTTCGTAGTATTCGACTAACACTTTCCATCCTCCGGGGCACATGAAACCGTCCGGCGGGCTTTCTTTATTCTTCGCAAGGTTTCGCATCTATCCAATTATCAAACAAATCGCAAAGGAAAAAATGAGATTAGATGACTAGTTGGAAGTTTGATTAGATAAATTTTATTTAATTAATAATATTTGATTTATGATGTAATAATATATATAATTAAAAATAATAAAATATGTATATAATTTTATAAATAATAAAATTTTATATACACAGATAAAATGTAGTATATATTTATACATAATTAAGATTGTTAATTTTATAAAAAAATGAAATTTTTTGAATATATGAATATATTTATTTATAGATAAAAGAGATAAAAAAAATTTAAAATTTTTAAGTGTCTCGGATAGTATAATATGTGCATTATTATTATTATTATTATTATTATTATTATTATTATTATGTCGAAATAAACATATATTACCTTGGTGCCCGATATGAAGAGAAAATCTTGAGCCCTTGATGGATCAAAGAACGCCATTTTGCCTAGCGTTTTGTCGTAAGCAGCGACCTGATATATAAATAAAACATTATTACCAAGGATTACCAAGCTTTTAAAATAATTTAATTGTTTAAACATCTTAAAAAAGAATTCGAAGTTCAATTTAAACTTGTAATAAACATATTCACCAAACAAATTTTGTAAGTTATTAAGAATGACAAAAATATTATTAAGATATTCGTTTATTTTTAAATATTTTACAGAGAGAATAATGCCCATTTTTAGCGGAAACAATGTATAATGTTATATGTAAGTGAATAAATCAAAGAATTTTTTACAACATTTATAAAAAGTTAAACAATTTTGGCGCACCTTGAAGGGCAAAATGTTGAGGCGTTCCAACCCGGGCGCCATGCTTAGTACCTTCTTCCCATGGTCGGCATCGTATAGATCTCTTTTTTCGAGTGGATGGCTCATCCCGGCCGGATCACGCCCCACAATGTAAAAATTTGCCCCGGCATTGATCCGAGCCTTGGCGTGCCATTGCACCTCAGTCGGGCCGGCATAGTGCATCGGGGATGGGAATATAGACACTATCGTGGTCTCCGGGTCCAAAATCCCATCTTCAAGCACCTATTACAAAATATATATATATGATCATCAGTCATATTTTATAAGAAAAGATGATACTTTCTTCGTCCCAAAAGCGTAGTTCTATTTTGCCATTTTTGTTGTTTCAAAACAGTAGTCTAATTTCTATTTATGGTAATTACCTCCCTATATTTTAGTGAATCATTTCTATTTTTTCACAATAATTACATAAAACATGAGTATTTTGATATTTTAAAAACACTTTTACATACACTGTCAATATAATACTATTATTTCTTAATTGTTGTGCATATCTGAAATATTCGTATTATTTTGGGATGGAGGGAGTATATTTTTACATGAAACTATCATGATTATACAACAATAAAAAAATAATAAAAAAATTGAAGAATAAAATCTATGTTAATCAATAAAATTTTCAAAAGTATATATAAAAACAAAATTTATATCGAGTAAAAAAAACGTTCAAAAGTACATATGCAAACAAAATATCAGGTGTATAGGACTATTCAAGCTAATACGTGATCAATTTTATTCCATCAGTCATCTGATTGTATTCTTTTTATTATTTTTTGCTTTTTTATAATAAAAATACGCGATAGTCCCACCTCTCGACATTGTTATTTCTATCTTAGACTAAATTATTTTAATCTTAATTTATAATTATTTTTACTAATATATTTTTAATTATTTATTAATTATAATTATCCTAAATTCTCGTATTTACAGTAATTCGAACACGTTAGATAGGATATAAAAAGTACTACAATTTTTTTATTTGAAAAAAAAAGAATTATTTTTTTGAAAACAACTTAAAATAAAAAATAAATATAAATTTGAATGACCGCATAAAATTACACGAGACTAACCTTCTCGTGTTGCTTCATGCGCCAACTAAGAGGCACATCATCGGCTTTCGTGTACCCGCCCAACGGGTGGAGCAAGAGGACCGGGTTCTTGTAGCCCATGTCGAGGAGCCTTTGCCGGGTGTCGTTCATAAGCAATGCGTGCCCATTGTGCACCGGATTTCTCAATTGGAAGGCGAAGACGGCGTCGGCTTCCCGCCGCTCGAACTCGGCGCGCAGCTCGGCCGGGGAGAGCCGAAACCGGTCCAAACCGTCGTCGTATTTGACCGGATTTATCACAGCTAGGTCGCCGCCGACGAGCCAGTTGCCGGCGTTTGTAATCGCCTCCTCCACGTATGGAAGTCCCGGAGCTGTGGTCCCCCATGTTCTTGCTATTCTTTCTTCCTTGTTGTGCCTGTAAATCTCTATGCTGCCAATACAAGCATCTTAGGTAAGTTTTACAATTTAAAATATATAATAATAATAATAATAATAATAATAATACAATCATCTTATGTATTTGATCATCTCAATAGTTGAAATCTTGGAATATAAATTATTATTTATATTTAATTAAAATATAATTTTTAAAATATTTTAAATTTAATATATTATAAATACTGAAATTTAAAGAAAACATAATTAATAAGTAATTAAAATATATTAGTAAAAATAATTATTATATAATAAATTATAAATTAAAATTAACATAACTTATTATATAATTAAAATTATAAGTTATACTTAAAATTTAAATTTTAATTAAAGTGCATAATTATATTTATTAGATATAAGATGAAACTAACAATAATAACAATAGTGGACGAAAAATATGGGACGGAAGAATTATTATACTCCCTCCGCTTCTGAGGATCACATTTACATTTTGCGTCGTTGTACTTAACATTAAAAATATCGTTATATTTATACAATTTGTTGTACAAATGTCCTTCTAATTGATATTATAAGATATCAATAAAAGTACTTTTTAATTTATACTACGTTTTTATATAATAATTAATATTAAAAATCAACATACAAAAAATAAATAAGATCTTAAAGACGAGAGGGACGATGGTAGTATTTTACTCATTCCGTCCACTTACAGTATGCACATTTCCATTAATATTTGTCACTTATTCTGTCACATTTTTTAAAAAAAAAATTATACACATTAATATAATTTTAATTTTTTAATTATAATTTTTTTTAAAATTTTTAATTAAATCAATTAGTTATATTAATTTTAATATAAAATTATTTATATTATATAATAATTATTTCCAATAAAATATTTTTAATTATATATTAATTATATTTTAATAGTATTATTTTTTAAATTTGATGTCCAGATAAATTTTCATAAATGTTTTTTTTTTAAAAAAAATACGAACAATCCAAAAAAAAGACCTTACAAAAAGAAAGGAAAACCTGAAATGACTAAAAAGCCCTTACTCGCTGAGAACGGCGACCAGGCGGTCCTCTCCGTCGACAAGCGCGACGGCGTCCGCCGCGCCGAGGCGGCGCTTCTCCGCGTCGTCGACGGCGAGCACGATCGGCACGGACATGTTCGCGACGGCGCCGCCGCCGCCGTCGCCGATGCGGATGGAGTTGAAGTGAAGTGCTTGGAGGAACTGGTGCTCCCTCATGAACCCTCTCAGCGGGCTGGCCCACCCCTCGCTCACCACCTGAACCCACTGCAGCTCCACCGCCGACAGCCTGATCCGTGGCAGCGCCGCCGCCTGCCTCACCTTCGCCGCCCGCTCTGGCCCCTTCACCACCAGGTCCACCAGCTCGCCGCCGTCCGGCTCGATCAGGGACGCGGATATTCCGGCGGCCGGCCGGGCCCCCCGCCGGAGGTGGAGGCGGGAAGGGTTAGGGGATTCTGTGAATTTTAATTTTGGTGAGAAATCGGTGGCGTAATTGGAAGTTCGGAGGTGGGTGGAAGCCATCGCCGCCGCCGCCATTGGTGGTTTTGTAAGTTTGCGCAGGGAAGAAGACGGCGGCGGTGTCGAGGGGTATTTTGGGGATTTTGTGTGTGGAGGGTATTTTGGGAATTTTGGTTATGAACCGTTTGGGGCTGGAATTAAGGTGGTCGGAATTTATTTATAGTGATGGAGAGATTGGGGGGATGAACCTGGATGGTTTTGGGTCTGTTGGTGGCAAAATTGCTCTTTTGTAATTTGGGATTATTTTTAAATAATTTTAATTGATTTAAATTTTATGTTTTTTTGAATGAAAAGTTTGAATAAATATATTGAATGAAAAGTTTGGTAACGTTTAAATAATACTCTATTTTTTTCTTTAACAGTCTATCTATTTTTTTATTTTAGTCTGTTTTCATAACAAAACTGTATTATCTACCTAACATTATAAATATCTTTTCAATTTATGATATGTTACACAAATATCATTACCTTTGTATCATAAAATACTAATAAAGATAATTTAATTTTTTTATTTGTATTTCTATTATATTTCAATATAATACTAATATTCATTAAACTCGTTCAAAAAATAAATGGATAAGTTTCTAAGGAAATTTTAATGATAAAAAAAATTGAGTATATGTCATGGGATTGTCAGATTGATTTAAGCAAATTAGTACAAAATTGATTTTATCCCGTAAACATGTTTTTGTTTGGGGGGTTTTGTATTTTTGGATTGATGTAAATAAGTATTAAATTGATATTTTATATATAAAATTAATTTTTAATATAATATATTTTTTATTTTTTTTATTTCATAAAGATTGACACATTCTTTTTTATTTATTTTTATAATAATTAATATATTTTTATTTTGGATAAAACTTACTATATGTTGTTGAATGTAGTATTTTGTATATAATTTTTTTAATATAATGTATAATATAACAAAATTAGTATTTGATATGTTATTTTTTATTTTTTTTTAAAAAAATAGAGTAATAATATTAAAACTTTGTTTTTAGTTGTAAGGCTTTACATCTTGTAAAATATCAAAACTAAATACATAGTTTATTTATTTATTTATTATACTTCTTTACACTAAAATTTAATTTTACATTTGAAACATCGTATTATACGTATTTATATCAAATTAAGTAATTATTGCAAAGTTTGTCTTGTTTGTAATTTGATTATTGCTTTCAGATTGAAATTATAAAAATAAAAATACTCAAAAGAAAAGAAAGTGAAGTCCAATGAATTTTAGAGGTATTTGTTATTTAAAAATAAACAAAATTATTCAATAATTTTCTTAGCATTAATTTTTAAATATAATCTTTTATCTAACTTATTTATTCTACAATATTTTTTATTTCGATTTGTTTCATATATCTGCAATATTTTCTAGATAGAATATAATTTTTTACATTCTATCTCATCACATCACTCATAAAAAAAAATACATATTTTTTTCATTACATAATACTCTCTCCGTCCGGCTCTAAGTGTTATATTTACCTTTTATGTCATTATACTTAACATTAAAAATATCATTATATTTATATAATTTTTTTTTATAAATATCCTTCTATAAGTATTATAAGGTACTAATGAAAGTATTTTTGCAAATTTTTCTTAATTTGTACTATGTTGTGATATAATAATTAATATTCAAATATCAATACGCAAAAAATAAATGAGACCCTTAGAGCCGGATGGAGATAGTATATACTATACATTTTTAAATAATAATTTTGAACAATTTTATAGTATTAACACATGTGTAAGAATAATTGTAAAATGTTAAAATATCTCAAATTATAAATCATAATTCTTTCTTCCCCTTAAATGTATCATTAAATTTCACAAGAATGTAAACAAATATTTTTTGAGGTAATAGTAAAAAGCTATTTGTGTTTGTTGGAAAGTTTTTATTTGATTAAATTTTTTAAATTAAACAATTATTCTATATTATATATATAAATATTGATATTATATTTAACATATAAAATAATATTTTAATATGATATAAAACTAAAAAAATTAATTTAATATTAAAACAAAACTCCTAGCAATCACAACTAGGTATGAAGAATTTTACCTAACATACCGAAATACCGACTTATCGTACCGTATCGTGTCGAAAATATCGAAAATTTCGGTAGAGTATGAATATCGTATCGAAGTTTTCGGTACGGTATCGATATAAATTTTCGGAAAGCTCGGTATACCGGTATGATACCGTACTAATATAATTTTTATTAAATAATTTAATTATTAATATAAATAATAATATATATTTTTAAATCATAAAAAAAATATGTAGACTATTGAAAATTTATTGATTTTTTCATAATATTTTTGCGGTGGAGAATTGTGATATTTAATTTTTTTTAATTATTTTGAAATTTAAAATTATATTTTTTATATATACTGGTATTATACCGAAAATAAATTTTCGATATAAACGTTATATACCGGTATCGTACCAAAATTGAAAATTTCAATATAAACAGCATATACTGTACTGTACCGAAAATTTCGATATACCAAAATTCGATATATTAAAATTTTCGATACGATACCGATATATATTTTTGTCCCAAAAAAATTCGATACGATATTAATCAGTACTTTAGGTATGATACGACATCCTATTAACAACCATAGGATTGCAAAAGCATAAAATAAAGCTTTTATTTTTATTTATTTATTAATGATGCGTTGTTTCAATGAAATTGCACTTTATTCAACTTTTGTCTAAAAAAAGCCCCAGATAAAGTGAAAGTACACGTTCAAATGAATGTGCCGAGAATTGTGTCCAGATTCATAATTTGAAAATTCTGTTGTAATGACTGAGTTCATTGCAGTCAACGGGCGTCAGCGCAACTGTAACCGCACAATAATTAATTAATTAATTAATGATTATGTATATTATAAATATAGGAGTTGATATTTGAATATTAATTATTATATCAAAATATAATATAAATTAAAAAATTTGTAAAAATATTTTCATTAGCGTCTTATAATACTAATAAAAGAATATTTGTAAAAAAATTTATATTAAATATATTTTTAATATTAAGTATACCGACGCAAAGATAAATATTACCTTTAGAGTTAGCGACGGGAAGGACGAAGACATGAAGTTGTGGATTTGATTTTGATTTCAAATTCTGTATTTTTTTATTATTTAATTTATATGTCATTTAGATAAAAATATACTTTCTCCGTCCAATTTCTATTATTCTAAAGTATATTTACACAATTTTTTAGGTGATTTGTCTTTTGTTATGAATTGACAAATTTGCCTTTAGGTGTATGGTAGAGATTAAAAGAATAAATGAATGAAGCGTAAAAATATAAAATTTGTGTTTAAAAAAGAAAATAGGACAATAGTTATTGGACGTCCCAAATATAAAAATAGGATATTAGTTTGTGGATGAAGGGAGTATATTTTTAGATTTTTAGCAAGATTTTCATTGTTGATTTTATTTTATTTTCTCTGTTATTAAAATATATGTTCGTTTGATAACGAATTAAAAAAAAAAGTTATGATTATTATTATTATTTAAAAAATATTAAACACAATATAATTTTGTATGAAAAAATAAAATTATTTTTTTAAGAAAATAATAATATTTATTGTATAAAAATAGTTGATTTGAATAAAAAAAATAAAAATATTTTCGTAATTTGGAGTAGTTGTTTTGAAAAAATATTGAATGATATTATTATAAATATATTGTGGTATTATTTATAATATGTGGATAAAAAAAATTAGATACATTTCTATCAAACCAAAAGAATGAACCAATGCTTATAGGTGTGTTTGGCTGTCTTTTTTTTTTTTTTTTATTAGTAAATAATATTTTGAATATAATATTTTCTTTAAAATAAAATAATACTATATTTTTATAGAATATCATAAAAATTAAACTAAAGAAAAAAATTATTTAATGAATACCATTATATATATATATACATACACACTATAATAAAGATAAAACAATAAAAACTAGGCCCAAGTCAAAGTGGGCCTTAGGCCCATCAAACAAAATGTTTGTAAGTTTGTGTTTTAGTGATTGATGTTTTATAACCCATGTAGATATTGCATGTGCTATATATTATTACTTCGCAATTTTATTTATTTATTTTTTAAAAAATCTATTAAATATATTTAATCGTTTATTTGTTGTAATATTTGTTTTTACCATTCTGTCGTTATTTTCTATTTAGGTGATTTTTTAAATATATTTTTCTGAATTATACAACTTTTTATCTTTTATACAAAAATAGAAATAATAGCAAAAATATTTGGGATAGATTAAATATTTGTTACTATATTAGGTTGCAATTTGTGCAAATTTAGATGATTATTTTTTGTACTAGATAGTAGATTTGCTATTGCAAACAAGTTGAGAGTATCTTATTTGTATTTGAAAATAAATAAATAAATAATCATAATAAAAATAACAATAATAATAATAATAATAATAATAATAATAATAATAATAATAATAATAATAATAATAATAATGGATCATTTGCTTTAGAGTGTTTTGCGTTTTTTAAGGTTATTTGTTTTTGTTCTTTTTTAGTTTAGTTTTAATATTTTTATTGTCACGTAATTATTGCGATTTTCTATATAAAAAATATCATTTTATAAAAAAAGATACATTCAAACTATTATTCAAGAAAAAAAAAAAAAAAACCCATTAAACTCCAAGAAAAAAATCATACTCGAAATTTTATATGTATACAATGAACTAGATTGCAACAAGAAGTAATATGTTTGTTTGGGATTTGGATTTTGAGTTGAGATTTAAATAGTAAAAATTTTGAATTGAAATAATTGAATGATGTGATATAAATAGATGATGTGATGTTTTGAATGTATAATTGATTTTTAGTATACTATAAAAAATTAAAAATAAATATTTGATTTAATATTTTTTTTTAAAAAAAATTCAATGAATAATAGAAATTCTAACAAGTCTATCAAACAAACACACATACACACACAAAAGTTATAGGTATATATCATAAATTTCATATTGAACACACTATTCGTCCAAAAGTAACAACGATCAAAACATACACACTCTGAACACGTGTGATTTGAAGACCAAACAAAATAAAATGTTCGTAGCACACTTAAATCGAT